GACTGCCCTGCTCCTGTACCACAAGCTCCGCAGTCGAAGCCTAATACAGCTGATAGAGGTCGGAAGAATCAAGGAAGACCTCTGGGCAGGGGCAGGTTTGCCAAACACAGCTGGGAAAGCCCCCTCTGTGCAGATGGGAGCAACGGACCACCGGACCGACACCACGTCCCTGAGAACTCAACCTGAGAAGACGACCCAATGGTGAATGATCCACTCAAACCTTTTACAGTTAAGGTCAACTTAGTGGTACCAAACACGAGGGAGGCCGGGGAGTTAGAAGCTGTTATTGATACTGGGTGTTCTAGATGTCTTATCGGGCTCCCCATTGTTGAACAATTGTGCATAAAGACTAACCCGCTAAAACGCCCAATCAGGTTTGAGCAAGTGGATGGAACCTTAATGGGGGGGGGCGCCCAGCCACTCAAATGACAGAATTGATCAAGATGGAGTTCCATCATGAACTCATACGCTTCATAATGACCCCCAAGATGTCAGAATCAATCATACTGGGACTTGCTTGGTTAGACAAATGGGCCCCAATAATCAAATGGGAGGATGGATTCAGAAAAATGCTCATTGGACCGGGCCTATTGCCCCTTCTTCCACCCACTACAAACCCACCAGTCAGCTTGAACCCAGAGCCTGAGCCAGCATCCATGTCATCCCACCTTCTCCCAGATAATCACCAAGTACCCGACCAATACAAAGACTTGGCTGAAGCATTCAGTGAAGAAGAGTATAATGTTTTACCTCCCCATCGAGCCACTAATTGCGCCATAGAATTAGAGCCCAGGGCAAAATTACCAAAACCAAAGATGTATTCTATGACGTCGGCTGAAATGACAGAATTAAGGAAATACATTGACAGCAATTTGGAACGAGGTTTTATTGAGCCTGCCAAATCAAGATTAGCTGCCCCCATGTTGTTCAAGGAGAAGATGGCGGGTTGAGATTGTGTGTTGACTTTAGAGGCGTAAACGCCGTATGCGTCAAAAACATCTATCCTCTCCCTCTTATGAAGGACTTATTGAACCACCTGTCAAAAGGCAAAGTATTCACCAAGCTAGATCTCAGGGAAGCTAACTACCACGTCCACATCAAAGAGGGAGATGAGTGGAAAACTGCTTTTAACTGCCCTCTGGGTAGCTTTCAATTCAAAGTCATGCCTTTTGGACTTCAGGGGGCTCCTGCAGTATTTATGCAGCTCATCAATGAGGTGCTACACTTGCACCTTTACCGGAGAGTCCTCGTGTACCAGGATGACATCCTTATCTTCAGCGAAACCATGGAAGATTCCACAAAGAGTCGCTGGACTACTTAGGCTACTGAATATCCAACCTGGGGATTGAAATGGACCCTGGAAAAGTGAAAGCGGTGCTGGACTGACAACCCCCCAGAACCCAAAAACAACTTCAAAGTTTCTTGGAGTTTGCCAACTTCTATAGACAATTCATTCTGTTTTTTGCTGAAGTTGCTCTCCTGTTGACAGAGCTATTAAAAACGGGCCCGTCACCCACCAAACTAAACCCCTGGCTTGGACTATGGATTGTCAGAAAGCTTTTGAGACCTTAAAATGCCTCTTCACAGCTGAGCCCATCCTCCAGCACCCAGACGTGACCAAGCCTTTTATTGTCCAAACAGATGCAAGTGATGTAGCGGTGGCAGCTGTTTTGCTGCAGAAAGACTCTCAAGGCTGACTGATGCCATGCGCTTATGTGTGCAAAAAGCTGACACAGAGCAAAGATGGGTGGTCTGGGAGAAAGAAGCATTCGCTGTACGATGGGCTTTATTGACTTGGAGGCATTTTCTAGAAGGGGTGCCAGAGGCCTTTGAGGTATGGACTGATCCTAAGAGTCTTGAGGGTCTAAAGACCCCTAGGAGATTATCGCCCAAAGAAGTCCGCGGGTCCAAATATCTCAAGCAATTCAATTTCAATATTAAATATATCCCTGGAGGGAAAAACGTACTGGTGGACGCTCTGTCCAGAAAACCTCAGTTTGACAGCCACCGAGAGGAAATAGTACAAGCCTTAATTTCAGATGCTCAATCGGCAGGCCAAGTGACCACTCGAGCCCAAGCCAACTGCAACCCGAAATGCCTGGAAGATAAGCTGACTGCGGGATTGAAAATGGCCCTATTGACCAATCCTTGGTTCCTGGACCATCAAATTGAGTTGACAATGAATGATGGACTATCTTAGAAAGAGACTAAGCTTTATGTACCCACAACCCTAAGACTACTGGTACTAAAGCGTAGCCACGACTCTCGCTGGGAGGCCACTTCGGATTCCTAAAAACCCTACATTTACTGAGAAGACAGTTCTGGTGGACAAAAATGAAATCTGATGTCGAGGACTATGTAAAAAGTTGTTCAATTTGTGCTACAATGAAACACAAAACTGGAAAAACCTGGCCTCATGCAACAAGTTGCTGAACCAACCCAACCTTGGGAAGAAATCGCAATGGACTTTATTGTTGAACTACCTAAGAGTGAAGGGAATACAATCATTTGGACTATAATTGACTTATTCTCTAAACAGGCCCATTTTATAGCCTGCAAAGGACTTCCATCTGCAAAAAAGCTTGCAAAGCTGTTCGTGAAACATCTATAGATTACATGGAGTACCTCGTAGAGTAGTATCAGACAGAGGGCTGCAATTTACCACAAAATTGTGGAGGGAATTTCTGAAATTAATTGGTTCCTCTCAAGGGTTATCCTCAGATTTCCATCCTGCTTGTAACAGAGCAGCAAAGAGGGCTAACATTGAACAATATATTAGATGCTATGTAAATTATCAACAAGAAAATTGGGCTGAATTATTACCTTTTGCAGAGGTTGCTCACAATAATGCAGTACATAGCAGCACAGGATTGACTCCATTCCAAATCAACACTGGAATGGATTTTGTCACGATGCCAGAATTACCTAGACAACCTCCCTCATCCAAGTCCCTAACAGAATGGATGAACTCATTAAAGAAAGGGTGGGAAGATACCAAAAAAGCTTTGAACGAAGCTGCAAAAAAATATAAAAAACAGGCGGATAAACGTAGACCCCTTCAACTGCCTTTTAAAGTGGGGGACAAAGTATATTTGTTGACCAAGTATCTTAGGTTGAAACTGCCCACTAAGAAGCTGGGTCCAAAATTCTTGGGTCCATTTCCAATTTCAAAAATAATCAATCCGATCACTGTCCAATTAAGTCTTCCTCAACTATTGGGGAAAATTCATCCAGTGTTCCATTGTAGTTTACTAAAACCAGCTACTGCATCAATGATAAGACCACTGCCAATCGCTCCCCCTAAACCGTTAATGGTACAGGGGGAAACACATTATGAGATTCAAAAAATTCTCGATTACACCGTGGCCGATTGCAATATTTGGTCTTATAGAAAGGATACCCATCTCAGATGCTAGTTGGGTAGAGTTGGGATGTTCATGCTGATCAATTGGTTAACCAATTCCATGAGGATTTTCCCCACAAACTGAACAGTCCTCGTGGAGGGGGGGTGGGGGGGTTAATGTATTAACCCGTTGTTTTTTTTCTTTTTCTTTAGGAGTTTTCAAGGGGGGACGCCTGTCAGCTTTGAAATTCAGCTGCCACATTTTTTTAAAGAGAGTTGGAGGAGTTGAAAAGTTCAAGGTTATTCTGTATGTCGTATTAAGAAATTCCAGTGGCAGTTAACTGGTTCTCGTGATTTATGAAGTGTAGAAGTGGGAGGAGAGAAGGGAGGAGAGAAGGTGGATTCTGCGTAACGCGTGAAAAATTTTCACTTTGGAAAATTGCCTTTGACGTGCCAGATCTGTTTCTAAACAAATCAATTGGAGAGAAAATGTCTTGGAGTGATTGATATCATGGATACTTTCTGGATGCCTTACACGTCTTATATGTATGATACACATGAAAAACAGGAAAAGTGTCAACCACATTGCCATAGTTACCATTTTGGTTGTTTTTTTTACCATATCCTGTGAGCTCTTTGGATAGTATGTTTTAAACTCTGCACTCTAGATAATAAAATGTTAGCCAAATCCAGATTTAAATATTTCTAAATTGTGTTATTATGTTCTCCCTGGATGCACATAGATTACAGGTTATTTGTATTTAAGCAAAAGCTTAAGGCATTGGCTTACTTTGGGGTTTATTGAATGCTAAAAGTAAATGGAGTTATTTCTGAATAGTTAGCTAAGTTGCTGTAGCCAGAATAAGTAAGCATTCTACAGTTGTTGGGGGGGGGGGGGATGGAGAACTAAACTGATAGTATGTCTTGGTTTGTGCATTGAACAAATGCTTTAAGCTATTCTTCCATTATGTTTTATGTGTCCATTTGAAGTAGTCCACACTGTTATAAAATGTTCTGCAAATTGCCGTTTCTTGTACATTAAGCTGACAGTTAAAAAAACAGGTTAAGTATGCATGATGTGTACTAGAGACCATGTTTTACTGAATCAAAATACTTTACAGAAAAACTAATGGGAACTATCAAACATGAATCAGCCAGTTGGGAAAAGAAACAGTATTTTTTTTATAGTCTCTAAATTTTAATTTGTATAAGGACAACATTTTCAAAACACTTTACAAAATCTGAACAGTAGCCAAACAGTGAATTGGTAATAAGAGAAGCAACTACAAATATGTACAGTTAAATTCAAGTATAGTTAGAGGTTTACAAATTCAAATTACACAAGTTTTATTATAAAAGCTAATATTTGTAAAATATGAGAAAAGTCACATTGTATGGAATCACTATGTAGGAAATTTATTTTTCTTAATCTTCACCCATATATTTCAAGACCACAGTGGCTTTCATTCTGGCACCAATTATTCCATAAAATAATTAATATTATTCTGTGAAATTCTGAGCAAGACTTCTTCCCTTTGCAACACAAGATGACAGGAACAATCTTTTTAAATTAATACAACTGAATGTGCTTTTTTGAAAAATAAACATATTGTTTTATAGCCTCGATTATTATTAAATAGTAAACAGATACATTGGCTTTTCAAATAAAATATGAATCCCTATTATTGCTTTAAAATTCTGAAAAAGATTGTTTAATCCAAAGACAATACAAATAGATGCACTTAAGACAAAATCTAATTATCATCACTTCTTTAAAGCTTCTAAACTCCTAAATTCCATTCTCTGAAGGAGAATAAAAAAGTGGTATACATCAACAACACTTTATTTAAAAATATTATATTAAACATATTTTGAACCGTGTTTGGTTCAAAAGCAATTTATCCATTGAATTCCATGATTAGCAAAAAAGCTGAATGAGTTTGCATCTACTGGTAACATGAAGATACAGCAGTGCTAGCATTTCTTCTATGTACCTATAAAAATTCAACATTATCAAACCAAATCTAATGTAGAGTTATATTTGTGATATTCAAAATGAGTCCTTTATTTTGGCAAATATTTGCCCCTCTCAATTAGCTAATACCTCAGGGATCCAGTCAGTTCCTGTTGCTTCTGCTTCATACATCCTGTCATCTGCTGTGGTGCAATGGTCTTGAAACATCTGGCTTTCAGTTTTCATGTGTGCTGTTCTGACAGAAGCCCCCCATGTCTTCATCACCACTCTGTCTTGCATTCCATGTTTCTGCAGACATCTCCTTGTCATAGGAAGGCATTCTGTGCTCAAGAGTCCTGTCTTCAGCACAAGCCAGCTGCTGATATGAAATTACTGGGAATTGTAAATCATTTGTGGAAAGCTGTGCTTCTGAATTTTTTCCATTTGTAGCTTCTGACTCCTGTGTTTCTTCTGTCTGCTGCTGTTGGGCTCTGGCACTTAGCTTTGCCTTCAGAGGTTTCTTCTCTTGCTGGTGTTGGTCTTGTTTAGAGAATCTCCAATGAAACTGAAAACAGATATAATACAGGTTATGCTTGAAAAAGAAGAGGCATCAGGAGAAATCTTCAACTGCCAGCTTAACATTCATTTAATTTTTAAAAGATATGCTAAGACAGCACAATCTTGCTTTTTAAATAGAAATTATTTTGAAAAAAAGGGCATTACTTTGAGTATTAGATACTGTTCTACAGATACATCTTTAAGCTTCTCAAGGAAAAAAAAGTAATTTCCCAATGTCAACAGCTTTTTATCAGTTGTATTTTTAAAATGTGTTAGTATTGATTTAGTGGCTCCAGCAAATTATTTTTTCCTTAAAAGAAGTTCACAAACTAAAACATTTCACTGTAGTTAGAATGTTTTCTTGATATATGAAAACAGGAAGCCTTACGTAAAAGGAAGGTGTTACGGTGCTTCAAATTTGATTCTGACAAGGTTTTCTGTTTTCTGCAAAAGCAGAAAAACAGTGCCAATTGGCAAACTTGTTACAGCAGCTGCATCTTTCCAGGATTCTGTACTCTAAAGTACTATTTCAGGATTGATTCTGAGACCTTGCAAAATCTTAATCAATACTAAATGAAACTAAAATGCATTAGATATTGCATGTACCTGATGAATGCTTCTATATTATATCTTGTGTGCTTCAATTTGAACAATAAAGTACTCAATTTCTTGAAAAATATTACACATTGGCAAGGAAGAAAATATTCTGTAGGATGTATTATTATACACAACAATATATTACAGCTGTCAATTCTCTAGCTGGTGTTGGGTTTCATTTGTACTGAATTACTCCCAAGAACCTAGAATGTCATAATGTATCAATGTAGTACATCTTTAGATCCAAGCATTGTGGCTTTTTGTAATTGACAAATGGAAATTTTGTCAATGTGCAGATTTCTTAAGTGCTGCCCAACTGCCATCTGGCTGGTTTATGCTATAATCTTTCAACTTCAATTATTATTTTTCAATTTCAATGTATTTTTTTCCTTTCAATTTCTTTCAGCCTCAATGTATAATGTGGGAGTAATCTACAATGGTCTAAGACTAGTGGAAACTTAATAATTCAAGTTTTAACCAGGGTCCTAAGAATGATTATAATAATATCTAAGAATAAATGCAGTTGAAGCAGGGGTGCTTTTTGGTAAAATTAAGTTATTTGAGTTTGATAAATGCAATATTTCCTGATATTTTGGAGTCCTTTAGGTACCACTAAGAGGACTCCAATTATTTTTATTATAATAACTGCAATAATGATCTGCAAATAGACATAGAATAACTTGGCAAAAGAAAGCAAAGGTAGTCCCAATAAATGCCTTGGGTGCAATCCCAAAACTACTGGAGCACCACTTAAACACCATTGGCATTGTCAAAAATTCAATATCGGTTAATTGCAAAAGGCAGCTTGGAACAGTTTACATCTTGTAACAATACCTCTAACACTGTTAAACATCAACATCTGTCTATTCCTGGTACTTGGGAAAGATTTGATAGGTGGATAAAAATGCCAAATCCAGTCTAAACATCTGGCTGACTATGTGACAATAATAATGGTTTAGAGGTTTAGACTGGATTTGGCATTTTTATCCAGCTATAGAGTCCTTTCCAATGAATGGGAATAGGCAGATGTTTGATGTCTGATTTATTATTATTACTATTACTACATTCACTCACTCACTCACTCACTCACCACAACCAAGTTAATAGAATTGCTCTGCACAATTCCTTAGCTGACAAATTCTGGCTAATTAAGCTCCCTAAAGAACACTCCTAGCTTCCAAAATAATTAAGGTTAGCAGTCTGAATTATTTTGCACTCCTCACTACCATAGTAGATTAACCAAACTGGGTCAACATCATGCCATCTGAACATTTTCCTAATTCATGCAGCTAACTTGTTCAGTTTGATCCCTTTCACATCCTATTTCTTTTTTCTGACAGAAATGCTGACATGTGTTCAGCAATCACCTTGCAGCATCACAATTTTACCAAGAGTTTTCCTTCAAATTTCTGTCCATCCAAAAGAAACACATAGACCAGTGATGGCGAACCTTTTCAACACCGAGTGCCCAAACTGGAACATATGTGCATGTGTGGGTGCTGGAGCACCACACACATGCCTGTTTTTTGGCTGTTCTTTGAGCCGTTTTGGGGCCATTTTCAGGCTGCTTTTCAGGGCATTTTTGGACTGTTTTGGGGGCGTTTTTTTTGGGCATTGTTCAGGTTGTTTTTGGCCCAGAAAAAGCCCTGAAAATGATCTGAAAAAGGCCCCCCAAACGGCCTGGTTTTTGGGCCATTTTCCAGTGCCTGCAAAGACCAGCTGGCTGGCATGCCAGAAACCAGAAGAGCAGCTGGCGATGGTGTGCATGCCCACAGAGAGGGCTCTGCGTGCCACCTCTGGCACATGTGTTATAGGTTTGCCATCACAGATATAGACAGTTTATCTTTGGATTTTCTTCTTTAAATAAATCATTCACATTGAACTATGAAAAAACTTAATTCTATTGTGGCCAGAGCATACAAGTGATTTATCAGTTCAGAGTAAAATCAGAGCCAGAACAATCTGGGGAGAGTACAGTATAGACGGCTGTTGGCAACCCGGCATGCGGCTCTTTCATCCCTCTGCTGTGGCTCCCTGTCGTGGCAGAGGGATGAAAGAGCTGTCACTTTGTTGTGGCAATGGCGATGGCCGGAGCCTTAATGTGGGAGCCTCTGCACAGCAACAGGATTCTGCCTTCATCGTGGTACATTTGCTGTTGCCGCCAGCAAAGAGGGCTGGAGGAGAACAGTGGGGGCAGATCTTGGGGGCTGGGGGCCATCCCCCAAGCCTAGCCTTCCTCCTCCGTTGTTGGCGGGGCCAAGAGAAAAAAAGGGGCGGTGTGGGTAAGCACTCTCCTCCTCTGCAGAGCACAAAAACCAAGCGGAGGGGGTGAGTTGGACAGTGGAGAGGCCTGGCCCAGCTCTCACAGCGGGATACTGTTCAGCACCTCCAGACGCGAGCAGCCGCCATTGAAAGCGCCGCACCTGAGGAAGCCAGGCACTGATGGCTGGGGTCATGGGGGGAACAGCAGAATCATCAGAGCTGCTCCAACCCCCCTCAGCAAGCCAGGCCTGGAAGAGCACGGAGAGTTGTGGGGCGAGCACTGGAGTGTCAGAAGACTCACAGTTAGCAGTAACTGTGAGAGGGATTTTGGAGTCTTAGTGGACAACCAGCTAAATATGAGCCAGCAGTGTGCAACAGCACAAAAAAGCTAATGCAATCCTAAGTTGCATTAACAGGAATACAATCGAGATCAAGTGAGGTACTAATACAACTCTATAAAGCCTTAGGAAGACCACACCTAGAGTACTGCATCCAATTTTGGTCACCACATTATAAAAAAGACGTTGAGACTCTAGAAAAAGTACGGAGAAGAGCAACCAGGATGATTAGGGGACTGGAGACTAAAACATATGAAGAACGGTTACTGGAACTGGCCATGGCCAGTCTAGTGAAAAGAAGGACCAGGGGAGACATGATAGCAGTCTTCCAATATTTTGGGAGCTGCCACAGGGAGGAAGGGGTCAAGGTATTTTCTAAAGCGCCTGTAGGCCAGACAAGGAATAATGGATGGAAACTGAACAACAAAGATTTAACCTGGAAATAAGGAGAAACTTTCTGACAGTGAGAACAATCAACTAATGGAACAGCTTTCCCTCGGAAGTTGTGGGAGCGCCATCACTTGAGACTTTCAAGAAGAGACTGGACTGCCATTTGCCAGAAATGGTGTAGGGTCTCCCGCTTGGGTGGGGGGTTGGACTAGATGACCTACAAGGTCCCTTCCAACTCTGATTATCTGTTATCTGACGTGCTCTGACGTCACCCCAATATGCGTTTCCAGCGTGCTCCTCTATCCTGAAGTGGAATTGAGTGGGAGGTATGGGGAAGGGAGCAGTGGGAAGGGTAGGTGGATTCTAGGAGAAGTCTGTCTGGCTTTTATTTTGGCATTGGGTGGGGAGAAAACCCAATAAAAATCCAATTTCTCCCAATAAATGGGGAAAATAAAGGCCTGGTGGTCCAGAGTCCAAAAAGGAGGGTGGGGTCTGTATTGGAGGATCAGTGAGGAAATCAGTTGAAATCTGGGTGGGAGGCTATTCAGAGAGGGATCTGCCAGGGTCTCTTCTTCCCTCCTCCTTAGACTCCCCCCTCCCGGCTTTCTTCCTAGCCTCATTTTAAGGAGAAGGGTTGCAAGGTGGGACAATAGTGGCTAAAAGGCTGTGAGGGGGGAGCAGATAGAGAATCCCCTCCATGGTATAGACTGGCTTTTTGCTTCCCCACCAGCTTCAGAGCATTTTCCATGAGGAAGCGAAGGGCTTTGGTTGGAGGCAACTGGATAAAACACAGCAGCTCCAGACCGCATCAAGTTCTCAGACTGGTAGTCCCCCCGACCCTCTCTCTTTATTCCCCCAAGTCCAGAGGGGACTCCCCCCTGGATTTCCAGGTTCATGTTTCTGAGTCCTGTTTTTTTTTCTGGATGGGGAGTAGGAGAGACATTCTGTAAAATGTGTGCTTAAATCTTGCGCCAGTGCAAAGTCCTGATTATTAAAGACAGGGATGGGGAAAATATGCCATTTCTTTCCCAAGGACCCAGGGAAAGTGGAATAAAAATAGGTGTGTGTGTGTGTGTGTGTGTGTAAATAACAGCCCGGGATAGCTTCAGTCACAAACAATAGTTTCTGTTATTGTTGCTGAGCGCTTTTAAGCTCTCATTCAGCATTCTTTAATAAATACTAACAATAACAAAGCATAATATACAGGATTAAAGGAAGGAAGGTGAAATCAGAGAAGTGGGGAGGAAGGAAGGAAGGTGAAATCAGGAGGGGAGAAGAAAGGAAGGTGAAATCAGGAGAATAAAGGAAGGTGAAATCAGAGCAGAAGGAAGGAAGGAAGGAGAAATCAGGGGGAGGAAAGGTGAAATCAGAAGAGGGGGGAAGGAAGGAAAGGGAAGGGTGAAATCAGAGGAGGGGGGAAGGAAGGAAGGAAGGAAAGGAAAAGAAGGAAGGAATAAGGATGTGATGGCCCCCCAGAGGCTATTGCACTACACTCCCATCATTCCTGAGTTGTGCTGTTAAAGAAATCCAGTGCCACCAAGGAGAAGTCAAGTTGTGAAAGAGTAATCGAAATTCCTCACATTGAAACTAAGTGGTGATAGCTCATAACAGAGGTGTGCATTCTCCCTGATGCATTTTCTTGTTATGTGCTCTATGATTTCAATTTCAGATGTTTTCTCTGCTGTCCTCTTGTTATATGAGAGAGAGAGAGGGAGAGAGAGAGGGAGAGGGAAGGAGGGGGGAGAGAGGGGGCAAATATCAACCAGTTCTCTGCCCTAATGACTGGCTGAGTTGGTGTGGCTGGGGGAGTCATGTGACTGGGTGGGAGTGATTGACATCAAGTTGGCCATGCCCACCCAGGTTTTATGGCTCCAGGTATTTTCTTTTCTGTAGGAAATGGGTCCAAATGGCTCTTTGAGTGTTTAAGGTTGCTGAGCCCTGGTATAGACTAAGCAGCGCTACCAAATCTTGGATGCAAAAATCCATATGACTACTAAATGGCAGCAAAGAGATACAAGAAACTGGGGCCTATACCTGATACTTTTAGATATAGGGATCCAGTAATGGGGTGAGGGTCATGATTGATGGGAAAGGAAGGAACAGCGTATAAACATTTAGATTTCAGGAACTGATTCTGCCCCCTCAATTCAGAATATACTAATGAACTGGAGAACTAGACCAACTTGATATCAATGATGTGAGGATGGGATGCAACTTCTTTAAACTATTCTTGGTGGCTTTACACTAAATATTTATTACTTTCTCTTTGTGTCACAGTATGGTTGGTGCCTATCTATTAGTAATATGATGAATGCTGCTTAGTTCTGCCATGCCATTTTCCCACTATTGCAGTCATAATACTATTTCTTTGTGAAATGAATCCAAAAAATAATTTGAATATGCTGACTTCTGGTGAAAAGATGACCAACTGGGAAGGATCCCTGAAGGTTTTTCCCCCTGGACTGTAGCTTTTTCAACTTACCAACAGCATTCTTTTAGTTTATATGACTCTCCTGTGCTAGGAAAAGTCCTAGAATTATCCCTCAAGATCTTCCAATACAGCAAAGGTCTGCAAGTAGCTTCAGGAGCTGTGCTTCAAAGCAGCTTGCGTGCTGAAAGCTAGGGGTCGAGGATTCAATCAGTTCATTGTTGAAGAAGCAGATATTTTGGAAATTATTTTTCGAATGGAAAATAAATTATGCCTTTCATTTCTTAATCATTTTTAAAGACTATTAATTTTTATTAAGCTAAAAGAACCTCTCTTTAGCCACAGTCTGTTATTCCTTTTTGAAGATCTGCATCATTTGGGGAATTTCTTCATTGTTGAACAACAAGGAAGAAGGCTGCTGAAGGGAAACTAAAATAAGGAAATACTTTTTTTTTTTTTTTAACAAAAACTGATGGAGAAATATAAGGGCAGAAAGTTGTGGTTCTAGTTCATTATTTTTAGTAATTTGTAGCTCAGTCTGCTTTGCTATGAGTGGCTAAAACTTTCCCATTTTTATGATCCCTAATTGACCAGCAATTTTTAACTGACTTACAAAAAAGATACTCTTTGATTAAAGAGGGAGTTTAAAAAATGGAGGAACAAATTATTAGAGATGTATTTGAAAAATCTTTAAATAAAATGCAACAGTTCATAAATCAGCTATGCTCCAAGGATTTAAAAGAAAACTTCTCAAATACTTCAGAGATGCAAATATGTATAGGAAGTTACCAAACCACCAAAGCAATTTCACAAGTAGCTAACAATGCAGTCCATTGCAATTTTGGAATATAAATTTGACATATTTTTTATTATGATGGTTTAAACATAACTGCCCAACAGAACTGAAAGAAGACCTTTTACTTCTGCAACTTTGAAAAGGACAAGTTTGGGATATTTTCCTAATGGACATTAACAAGGTTAAGAAATCCTTGAGAAGAAAAAGAAGCTTAAAACTACTTGACAAACATTCCAGAGAAGATTTTATTCCATGAAGACAAATTGGAAGGAGTGACTTAAACTCAATGAGTCAACTGGAATTAGGATGGATTTTCATTGTTTTGATATTTAAAATTGAAAGAAAGTCTTAATCTAAAGTCTGAAAATGTATTTTTTTCTTTTTTATATGTAATGCTAAAATGCTTAAGTAAGTATCTACATTAAGAGAAAGTTACAGAAAAAGATGTATTACCTTAAAGAAAAGTTTGGAGCTTTAAAAAGGTTGTATAAAGAAAAAAATGAGTTTATTGGAGTTAATTGGAATTTTATTAGTCAGAAAGTGAACTTTAAAGTACCGGTATATATGTTAAGAGGAAGTTTTTAAAAAACGTATTAAAATGTTTTGATTTTAGAAATGTTCTTAAAGCAAGTTTTGTTTAATGTTCCCCTTTAAGGTTAAAGAATCTGAAAGAATACATGAATTTTATTAATAAAGTTTATTAAGTTTATTAAGTGCAAATAGAAATACCGTATATACTCGAGTATAAGCCGAGTTTTTCAGCCCATTTTTTGTGCTGAAAAAATCCCCCTCGGCTTATACTCGAGTCAGATTCCCCTCTGAAAAAAAAATGGTGTGGAGTCGCTGCCGCCGGAGCGGCCCCAGTCCCGCCGCCT